GCGCATGCACGCGTGCACACACACGAACTCCTGACAGTGGACCGGACTCTGTTAGGTCACCTCCACTTCTCTCCAACCTACCCGAAGGTCAAGCCCCTCACCCACAGCCTTCCCGGGTGAGGAGGAAATGAACAGGACAAAGTAAAGAGGCAGAGGGATATTGTTCTAGAACATAATACACACACTCTCTCTTTTTTTCCTACATTCCCTTTTACACAAACTGAAGGTGCCATATCGTCTATTTGCTGTAGACAAACAAAGAGGGGACCGGATGTTCTCACGGACTCCGAGATGGCCTTTGCCAGCCCTGCTGCCCAGAGATGAAAACGTTTCGACCTGAATGTTTGGACAATGACAGATCAGAAGGAGATATGATTTCCGAACCTGTGAATTGGTGCCTATTGCTCCTGACTTTATGGACAGCTTGTCCTGATTTGAGTTTGCTTATCGATGCCGACTCACAATGTTCCAGCTGAAATGAAGATTCTCCCCGTCAAAGACCACGCTAGTCTTCTCAGAGCACTGGGTTGATATAAGCGGGCAGTATAGAAATTGGATACCCCAAATGAGGAGGGTAAAGGCAAGAGTGTCACAGACTTTCATGGGTGGGGGAAGATATATTGATAGGATAATAGGATTAGGGTATAGTGTTCACATAACTGCAATTATAAGTACTGAATGTTTGGGGGTGTTTTTTCCCCCATTTATAGAACATTATGTTTAAATGAGACGGGCACATTTTGAGTTTTATGCATTTTAGTTTAATCCTGTTAGGCACAAATATGCTTTCACCATTTTCCTTGTTGACAAAATTATGTACGGCTAAAGAGTTGTGTAAAAGTATCAAGCTGACAAGGGGTGGTCTGTGGTAGCTACATAAATTTTGTGTCCACTTGAAGATATAAACATATAGGGGTAGAGTCTAGCCTGTCAATCAGGTCACAGCCTACTGGTACCTCCTGGTGGGCCTGGCTTTCTCATAAGGGTGGATCCTGGGACTTCCTCTCTCTCTCTCTCTCTCTCTCTCTCTCTCTCTCTCTCTCTCTCTCTCTCTCTGCTTCACCTTCCTGTTGGCAAGCCACGCAGCTGAGACCTGCCAGAGCCTTGTGATTCTGCCACCGCCATTAGATCCATGAGACTTTGCACCCACCGCCCTGTGATCTTCCTGCATCTTGCACCATTGCATGTGGCTGTGTAAGTCTGAAGAGGGAGTTAGGGGCTAATATTGGACTTATGGACTTGATCTGGACTGGGTTGGGATGTTTTCTTAATATACAGTTACTCCTTGAGATAAACCTCTCTCTTACACATATATGAGTGTCACTGAATTTGTTTCTCTAGTCAACCCGGCCTCACACAGCTGGTTATCTAGGGAAACAAAGCCAGGGGCACTCAGATATGTGTAAGAAAGAGCTTTAACCAAGAAGTAGTCTTATATCAAAAAGGCATCACAGCCCAGTCTAATCAAGTCCATAAGACCAATGCAAGCCAGGACCCTCTTCACATAGCTGCAGGCCTGTGATGCCGATAGGTGAAGCAGGAAGCAGGCTAGTGGGTGCACAGTCACATGGATCCAAAGTCCACTGAAAGATGGCGGGGTGGGTGCCCACAGCTTTCAGGGTCAGATGGCCGACACAGGTCTGCCCTGGAGGCAGGCAGCAGATTCCCAGCAAGCAGGAAGATCAAGAGGCAGACAGGGAGAGAAGGAAGCTCCCAGCTTTGCCCTTATAAGAAGGCCACACCCCCAGGAGGCGTGTCATCAGGCCATGACCTGATTGACAGGCTTGACTCCACCCTTCCATAAATGCTAGTTGACATAAAACCATGTTCCTTACCTCCACTCTCTGCTTCTTCCTCTTTCTTGCCTCTCTTGCCTTTTTTCCTTTCTGGCTTCTTTTCCCCTCTTTAACCCCTGTGGGGTTGACTGGATACACAAAGGGGGCCTCAAAAACCTTGAACAATGGAATTAAAAGATAATGGAAAAAAAGGATTTTTTTTTAAGATAGTGGAATGTTTCCACCAGCTTTTTGAAGGCCCCTCCTATATGCAAACCCCTTGTCAATTTGTTTGTTTGATTTTTCCCTTGTCAATTTCTAGGCCAATCTCTGCCACCAGGGCCAGGAACTGTCCAATCCCCTGTCAGGAGGTCACAGTCGCTCTATCTGTAGAAGTATATTAACCAATCCCTGCAAAGCACGGAAAATAGACCAACCATGAGCCAGGCCAGCTAGAACTCTGAAACCATCACGTTCTTTACAGCTTCCCCAAGAAATGCCAACCAACCTGGACAAAAGTAACCCATGCTCCAGGCTAGACAGCTAGGGCACAGGTAACTCCTTAGGTCTTAGGGAAGAAACAAAAATCTCTCAGGCTCGTTTTCTAAGAACTAAGGTCGAACATGACGTCAAGGAACTCATGTCCCCGCGCGTCCCCACCCAGAGGAAATCCACCCTCAGCATGCACCCACACAAGATCTACCCACCCAACTGCATAATCACATTCATGCACCACCTCCATCGCCCACGATCACAATCTCTTCTCTCTCTTCCATGCAGCCATGACCAACAATCTGGAGCTTCTCTCCTCTCACGTGACCCACTTCATCTTCTTTGTCTTCATGGCTTCCACTGTATTTCACCTTAAGCAGCGGCTTAACACAATCCCGCCCCCGTGGGAGGTAGAGGCACAATACCAGAGGCGGACCCAGAGTCTCACGAGCTCCCCGCCCAAGGGGATATGGACAGTCAATGTGCAAGGCCGTCTGGGGAACCAGATGGGGGAGTATGCCACCCTGTATGCCTTGGCCAAGATGAATGGCCGACGTGCCTACATTCCCACCCAGTTGCATAACACGCTAGCTCCTATCTTCAAGATCACCCTCCCTGTCCTGCATGATGCCGTCGTCAGCAAGATCCCATGGAAGAACTACCTTCTGAATGACTGGATGGAGGAGCGGTACCGCCACATCCCGGGAGAGTACGTCCGCCTCACTGGCTACCCCTGCTCCTGGACCTTCTACCACCACCTCCGAGAGGAGATCCTCCAGGAGTTCACGTTACATGACCACGTGCGCCAGGAGGCTCAGACGTACCTGCAGACCCTACAAGTGAACGGGAGTCGGCCCAAAACCTTCGTGGGGGTCCATGTTCGCCGGGGGGACTATGTCCAGCTCATGCCAAATGTTTGGAAGGGCGTGGTGGCTGGCCGGCAATACCTTCAAAGGGCCCTGGACTGGTTCCGCGCCCGCTATAGCTCACTCATCTTTGTGGTCACCAGCAACGGCATGGCATGGTGCCAGGAGAACATCGATGCCTCCCGTGGCGACGTGGTATTTGCTGGAAATGGGATTGAGGGCTCCCCTGCCAAGGACTTTGCGCTGCTCACCCAGTGTAACCACACCATCATGACCATTGGGACATTTGGGATCTGGGCTGCCTACCTTGCAGGTGGAGAAGTCATCTACCTGGCCAATTACACCCTCCCAGATTCTCCCTTCCTCCGAATCTTTAAGCCAGAGGCAACATTTCTGCCCGAGTGGATGGGGATCGAGGCCGATTTATCCCCGCTACTCAAGCAGTGAGGCTAGCCTGCCTTTGGGTCCTCTCCTCTCCGCTTCAGTCTCCTCCCAAAACCAGTCCCAAGGCTTGAAGAACAGAATGCTGCCCATGACTGGACCCTTCCCTTGTGTATCAGAATGCTCTAGGCTGCAAGTAAAAGGAGTCTCAACTCAAGTGTCTCAAGGACCTATCCATGGGACATCCTACCAGACCACGGGTGCCTCATGTCCTGGTTAGTTGATTCAGCAGCTCAATGACGCCATCAGTGACTTCCAGTATTCGTCATCTCATGGTGACTATGTCCTCTGCAGCCTCATGTCCTCTTAGCCTGCCTGCCCCCAAGATCCCCAAATGGCTGCCACAGGATGACGTCCCCCAGAGGCAAGAAAATGAAAGCTCTTATTTTAGAACCCACCGGCAACTTCCCCTCCCATTTGATGGGTTCGAAATGTGTCACATGAACCTGTGAGCCAGCATGCAGCAAGACCCAAGAAGACTGCTGGGACTGGCTTAGCCTTGGGCTACTCAATATTGACCTCCTGCTTTGGGGTATTGCTCAGCCTCCTCTGAAGGATGTGGAGGCTGGCAGAAAGGAAGGAGGAAAGGACAGTGTCCGGCAGCCCAGGGAGGCCCCATGCCATTGGTTAGGTTGCTCACTATCTAAAGGTAACCAAGGAAACAAGCCAAGAGATGAAGTGCAGTCCACCATCTACTCACCAAGACACAGGCCCTGAGACTGTGTCCACTCAGAAGGCTCCCGGGTCCTAATCCACCCTTCGAGACAGCAAAAAGATCAAGGCCATTGCCATCCACTTGGCTCCAAGTCATGGTGACCCTGCGTGCTTCAGGGTAGAACTGGGCTCCATCGATTTGTCAATGGCTGGAACTTTCTGGAAGCAGATCACAGGGCCTACACTCCCATCATGCCAACGGTTGGCCTGGTCAAACCCAAGGATCAGTAAGTATCAGCGTGCCAACCTTGAAGCATCACCGTCGCTAGAAAAGGGAATGCCTTCAAGACCATCAACTCACCGCCAGCAAGTCCATGCTGAATCCTAGCAGACCCCTCACCCTCCACACACACAAGACCATCAACTCACTGCCAGCAAGTCCATGCTGAATCCTAGCAGACCCCTCACCCTCCACACACACACTGTGGGTTTCTGAGACTAACTGTTTACAGGAGTAAAAAGCCCAGCCTTTCTCCTGGGGAGCAGCTGCCCATTCAGATCGCAGCCCAACGTACCACCACGACACCACCAGTCTCCTTTCAAGACCACGGGCCCTACCTTTGGAACCGTGGCTTCCTGGGGCCTGAGACGATTGCAACTGAGAACTCGGCAGCCAGTGTGGCTCAGCCAACTTGAGATTTCACGTCCCCCTCCGCTCCCTGACAAGTGGATCAAAGATTTCATCAGCAACGTACGCCTCCCTCACGGTGGTGGGTCGCCTCAAGATTGGAGGAAGTTGAGAAACTCTAGGGTGCCTGCTTTCCCATTGGCCCCCATTCCAGAAAAATGGTTGGCTTTGTTCCTCCGAGGCTTGTGCCCCTCATGATCATGTGGGGCAGCATCAGTCAGTAAGTTGTGGGTTCACCTATCCTGTCACGAAATCGTGGCTTATATGTTACATGTCAGACAGTGGACGCATCCTACAATGTCCTTCTCTCTTGGGGGACACACTTGTCAAAATCATATTTATTTAAATATTTCCAATTAGGAACATGGCCATAGCAGTGGGGGTAGAGGCAGGGACTTTCCTGGGGGTTTTATATGGGAACCTCCTCTGATCCAAAATATACCTTCCAAAAATCAAAAATGCACCAGGACCTGTCTTACAGAACTGCCCCTGTGAGCCTCTAAGACCGTAACTCTCTATGGGTGTAGAAAGCCCGACTTTCTCCCCTGGAGCTGCAGGTGGATTTGAACTGCCACCTTATGGGTAGCAGCCCAACTTGAAAGCACTGCCCACAAGGGCTGCCACTGACCTTCTTAGTGTGTTGTCATTGTCTGTCATTGTGTGCCACAGAGTTGTCTAAGACCCATAGGGGTTTGGAGTAACAGAGTAGAACTGTTCAGGAGCGTTGGCATCCTCTGGCCATTCTTATTCAGTTTGCGTGCTGAGCAAATCGTCAGAGGAGCTGGATTGTGTGAAGGACAACGTGGCATCCGGATTGGAGAAAGGTTCATTTAAAAAACTCCGATATGCAGATGATAGCAACCTGGCTTGCTGAAAGTGAGGAGGACTTGAGGCATTTGCTGATGAAGATGAAGGATTGCAGCCTTTCATGTGAATTATAACTCAATGCAAAGAAAACCCAAACTCTCCCAACTGGATCAATAGGTAACATGATGATACACAGAGTGTGTTAGTCCAGGTAGGCTAGAGAAACAAATCCAGGGAGACTTGTATATGTGTAAGAAAGAGCTTTACATCAAAGAGCAATTGTATATTAAGAAAACATCCCAGCCCAGATCAAGTCCATATGTCCAATACTAGTCTATGAATTCCTCTTGAGACTTACACCACCATGCAATAATGCCTATGGCAGGAAGATCACAGGCCAGTGGATGGAATGTCTTATGGATCCAGTGGCGGGGGAAGGATCTCAGTGCTGGTGTGGGTCTCCATGTGGCTTTTCAACAGGAATGTCTTACAGGGAGAGGAAACAGAGAATCTGTCCTCCAATGAGCTATTTATCTCCGAGCCTCCAAATGGGGTCATCAAGCTGTGACCTGCTTGACAGGCTAGGCTCCACCCCTCTGCAGGTTGACACTGGCTTAGGTAAGGACCACATGGAGAAGAGGTCGATGTTGTCAAGGTTTTGTCTTGCATGAATGCACACTCAGTGCTCGTGAAAGCAGCAGCCAAGCCAAGAGATCAGAAGACACGTTGCCTTAGGTAAACCTGTCGCATGAGACTGAAAAGTACTGAAAAGCAAGGATGTCACTTTGAGGACTAAGGTGCCCCTGACCCATGCTATGGTATTTTCCATCGCCTCATAGGCATGTGTGTGGGGTACCAGCCTCCACAATTGAATGAGTCTGAGATGGGGTTGTGTCATCGAGGGGTAGCATTAAAGAGACATCAGACAAGACCAAGCACGCTTGCCTCTAGGATGGCCATGATCTCAGCAACTTGGTCCATCAGTGCAGAGAAAATATATTTCCAACCAAGACTTATATACACTCAGGGGGGGCGTGCAAGACCTCTAATTACAGGTAACCACATGCATAACAGGATGGGGTTGTACAATAGGCATATGCGCCACAGGAAGGGGATGAGCCTGGAGTGTACATATAATGGGAAGGGGAGGCACTAGAGACACTCTTGTGACAACAAGGCCTACACATCACAAGATGGGCAGGCTGTAGAGTCCAGATGGCACCCTAACCTTGGTTGTCCCTGAGTTGACTTGACCTTTGTGTCTTTGGGTTCTCCTTCAGGGGACCATCCATTATCCTTATCAGAAGGGCGTGGGCCCTACTAGGGTGGGACACTGTAGGGTCTGATTGCTCTAGATGGCTGATAATCTTCAGGCAGATAACCTTCAAGCAGTTGACTTCCAAGTGTATAGTCATCGACCATGTGTTAGGGGGCAGCACCTTCGGTTTGGCATATAATACGAGGGGACAGCGTGGGGAATAACCTCTCTGTTTCCCACACACATGAGACTTTGGACATTGAATAAGGGAGACTGGCGAAGAATGAATGCATTTGAATTGTGGCACTGGAAAAGAATATTCAAAGTGCCGTTGGCCACTAAAAGGACAAACCAATCTTGTCTTGGAAAAAGTATAGTCAGCCAGCGTGCCCCTTAGAGGCAAGGACAGCAAGACTTTGTCTTACATACTTTGAACATATGGTCAGGAGAGACCAGACCCTCCAGAAAGACATCATGCTTGGGAAAGTGGAGGGACCGTGAAAGAAAGGAAGACCCTCAAGGAAATGGATGGACCCAGGGAATACAACAGTGAACTCTGGCTTAGGAACAACTGTGACCATGCAGTGTTTCATCCTGTTCTTCGTGAGGTTGCTATGGGTGGCAACCCACTTGAGGGCACCTAACAACAACAATATCATCTTTATAGGAGAAAAATAAGCATAATTGATCAATTATCAGAGGGTCATGGGGGAGGGAGGGGAAAAAATAAGGAGCTGATCCCAAGGGCTCAAATAGAAAGAACATGTTTTGAAAAGGATGATGGCAACCTATGTACACATGTGCTTGACACAATGGATGGGTTGTCATAAGAGCTGTACGAGCCCCCAATAAAGCGATTTAAAAAATAAAATAAAAGCAGGGGGGCAAAAAGCTTTATAGGAGCAAATCCCCCAGGTGGCTGGTGGTTTCGAACCATCGACATCTTGGTTAGCAGCCACGAGTTTAAGCATTATGCCACCAAGGATCCTCCTCATAGCCTGCACAGTTCTTTATCCAGACTCCATTGTGTGCATGCTTTCACACCCCCACTGCTCTGTCTGACCTCCACCTGTGATTTGGTGTGTTCCCATCCATTGCAAGAATCTGGACGTTACCTTCTGCGTGCAGTCTCTCCCTCCTAAAGTTCCATCTCCTCCACCTGGCTCTCTCTGGCTCCCTTTTTTGGACTCTGACAGCTGACACTCAGAGCCACTCCTACCAACGACCTGAGATGGGGGCACATTGCCATGTGAGCCTGGCTCTGTGACTATTTATCTCTGTCCGCGTTTTAGTAGCTAAATAATCTGGTGTCAATTTGAGGATTAAGAGTGTAGGGGTGGAGTCTAGCCTGTCAATCCAGAGATAGTCAATGAGACCTCCATGTGGGCATGGCATTCTCCTGAGAATTCGGGGAACTGTTGTATTTTCCTTCTTGGAGACGGGAGACACATCCTTTGGGAGACATTGCAGCTGACAAGACACATGGAACTATGCTAGTGCTCGGAACTGGAAAAGCCATATGGACCTATCCTGATGCAACCAGATCTATGGAGCTGGAGACCCCGGCCAGCACTGAGATGCTTACAACGCCACTGGATT